GGGTGTTGGCTTAGAGCTGTGGGGAGAAGGGGGGACACAAACCCCACAAGCTCAAATGGCGCCAGGGGAGGGTTAAGCTGACTGTTAGGAGAAATTTCTGCACCGAAAGGGTTGTGCAGCACCGGGACGGGCTGCCCGGGGAAGGGGCTCAGTCGCCGTCCCGTGTAGCGGTGGCGCTGATGGACGGGGTTTAGCGGTGGCCTCAGCAGCGTGGCGTTCACGGTTGGACTCAGCGATCTTAAAGATCTTTTCCAACCTCATGGATTCTGTGAAACCATCCAAGTCCCGCGGAGAGAGAACAGCTCTTATCACCACCTAGCACACGCCAGCGCCGAGGCTCCTCCGTAGGGCCCCTCTCCCTCTGCGCCGGGGATTTGAGGGCCCAGCTCTGTTTGCTTTCCGCTTCATGCTGTTAGCTTTTTTGGCTTTAACTGATGCACCGTGGGAATTGTTTAGAGAAAGAAGGATTTCATGCCCATGCCAGGAGAGGAGGCATCCGGACGGAATGACTGACACATGGCAGGTTTTGAGAGCACCTCGAGATGGCAGCTGCTGCTCGTGTCTGGGGGCCTGGCAGGTAACAGGCTCCTTCTTCACACCTCCCCACATTAATTCTAACGACCTTTGTTAGCAAAGTGTCTGGCTGGCTCAGTTCTCCTTCGCCTGACACGGCTCCACGTGTGCAAGAGGCTGTTTGTAAGAGGAGAGCAGCCTGGGGAGTACGAGAGTACAGCAAGAGGCTGAGGGAGACAGGGGCAGAAGACAACGAGGATGTGAAGAAAGAAAACCATCCTGACAGCTGCAGCGTGAGTGTGCAACATGCCCTTCTGAGGAAATACGTGAGACAAAGGAAGCAGCGTGCTTAAGAGGACCCAATCTCACACCCTTACTGGAAAATTGGACCTTATTTAATAAAAAAGTAATATGGCTGTTGTATTCTACAAAGAAAGTTGTTGCTCATGCAATGAATGTATAAGCTAAAACTCTGCTTGAAAAATGCCATTTTCAAGCAAGTTTTGGAGAGAAACAACCCAGAGCCTCTGTGAACTCGTGTTTTGTGGATAAATCTCATTCTGGAACTCTGTAGGGCCGCTCTGATAAAGGCCTACAAGGACTGCTCTGCTCCGGGGCTTTCAGTCCAGTAACTCCTCCTGCCATACTGACGTCTTCTAACGTTTTTTTACCCAATTAAACAGAACTGAATTCTTGGATCATATAAAACACTGAACTATGGTTTCTTTAACCCACATTTTCTGAAGAGGAAACATAAATCTTGCAGATCAGGAAAGTGTTGGTAGATCAGCTTTATCTACTGAGGCCTTTCATTTTTTATTGTTATGGGCCAGGCTGCCTTTCCTTCCAAATTAATTGCTGAGCTCCTTGATGGTGACAGCTGAAACTCTGCCATTCTTCAGCCCAAACACGTCCCCACCCAATTTAAAGACCCCGGGTGTGTGACTGAAGAGTCATGTTGGTTATGGAAATCTGTGTGTCTGTGAAGGATAAGCAGAAAATGGCCACAGAGGTGACAAAGAAGGGGAGAGCAGAAGGAGATAGCAAAGACATCCTGAACATGTTCTCAGAACTTGTTCTCTGAAAAAGGAGCTTTTTTAAATGTTTTTAAGACTGTGTTACAGAACACGCATGCAATTCATGCGGTTAAAGTTGGTTTTCATCACACTGTGCACTTCTACAGCTGGAGGCCACAGGAGCTGCACAGTTACCTACAGTGTAGGCATCAAATACCCCTCCTGGCCACAAATACTTCCTTAAACAATTTTTCTCACTCTTTTTAAGGAAGCTGAAGCCCTAGCTAGGTCAGCTGCGAGTCCTTTCTTATAAATACCAAAACCTGCTCACACTGTCAACATTTAGCAATCACAAACGAAATCTGTGTGATAGTTGAACAACCCCCATTCACAGACTGAAGCGTGTTTGGTTTGTCACAGCTAAACCCGAGCCTCTTGCATCATCCGTTGTTCCCTGACCTGAATTTGTACAACTTAATTCCTCTTCTGCTTTTTATGTGTCTTCATTTGATGTTGTCTTGTTGATTTGAGGACATTTATCAAATGTATTTTAAATTTTAATCACATCAGATGTCTCCTAGTCATCTTCCCAGCATATATTTCCTCTTCATTCTCTCCTGCAGGCCTTTCTCCGCAAAGGATTCTTCTGTAAATGCAGGGGTATGCACAAATAAACTGTCTCTTCCAGTTGAAGGAGAAGGCCTGCAGGGATGAGTGTGCCAGGGTGACAGGATATCTTTTCAGGTAAGTAACGGAGATTTTTACAAATTAATCCTGTTCAGCATCCGAGGAGCGCACGCTCGGAAGCCCTACCGGGTCACTACAAGAGACTGCATACAGGAGCAGTCCTTGGCTTCCTGAAGCCTCCCCTGTAGTAATGTCATTTTCTGTGAAGCCCCTCGCCAAAATTCAGCGGTTCTGCCGCTCAGCTGGTGCCGTGTTCTCCCTTCGCTGGCCTCCTGGGAGCGGAGGCATCTCCGCCAGCTCGGCTTGGCTTTCCTTGCGGATGTCTCCATCCCCTCCTCTTCTCTCCTAGGCAGCGCGATCCCCCGAGCCCGCTCCCCGCCGACGCACGGGCCGTCAGACGCTGATCCCCGCGGGGACGAGGACCCGCGGTGACACGGCAGCGCAGCCCCGGCCCTGGCCAGGCTGGCAGGTAGCACCCCAGGAACGGCGACGGGAAGGGGAGGGAGCCGCGGGGCCACGGCCGCCTTTGCCCGCCCCGTTGTGCCGAGCCGAGCCTAGCCATTCCCGTGCCGCTCGGTGCGGGCTGCTGGCCGGCGCCGGAGTTGTCCAGCCGCCCGCGCCTGCCTGCCCCCGCGCGTCTGATACGCGTCTCCGCAG